AGACTTGGAAATCAAATAGAACTATCCATATGGGTCTAATAACCATAAAGCAACAGATTTTAAGAAGATATTGATACAAATCCTTAATAATTTGAGCAAAAAATGTTGGAGTAGATGACGTCATTTGCTCCATCCTTTTGTTTTTCCATCTTTTGAATCAAAATTTCTCTGATGTGGGACAATTCCAAAACAAAGATTTTCCCGCAGTTGCTTTTAATAGATATAAATGAGTCATATATTTGTATTGCTTGAAGTTTTGAAATAAGGCCATTTTCATGCAAGTAGCACTTTAACACTATTACGCGTTATTGGTTAGGTACTTATGGCAGCATTTTACTCATCAGATACCCCATTAATTACATCTTTAACATAGAGAAAAAGGAAACAAAAAAGCTATAATTAATAAAACGATTAACGAAGTTATCATTTTCATAAGATTTAAACTCACTTCCGGTTGGGAATCCTGTGGTACTTGTCCGCCAACCGAAGTAATTATGGATCGAAACTAGTCTCCCTATCTCAATGATCTATATATCTCTCCACCAGTCTAACTTTTGCAGCCCCCCCTCCCTCCCCCTTAAAAAAATCCTGGATCCGCCCTTGCTGCCAAGTTCAATGATTACCCGTCAGCCTTCACGATGCTATTGTTCCTTTGAAAACAATCGCATCCGCGACATCTCTATATTCTTTAAATTCACATCTAACGACTGGTTATTTGATTGACAGGTCGCGAATCCAAGGCGACGTCCGTCATTTTGATGAACCATCGCATGCGACCTGCAAAAGTCAATATTACAACTCAGCATGGCTACAACTGTCGTATGGTTATCAGACAATTGTTTTTAATCTTAACGACAGTAGTTGTAGCCATGTTGTAATATTGACATATGCATGCTGCATGCGACAATTTTAGTCAAAAGTTGTACCGTCTAAATCGGCCTGAATGCTCCTGATCACGTGGTCTCCATATCTCGTTACCAGGGCTTTACGATTCAGTATTTGGTATTGATTTATCGTCTATTGCATATACATTATATGGATCATACACATCAACGTCGTAGGAAACTCATTTATTCATGGTCAATTTATTTATGGTGCCATCTCCTTCTCGCTGTTTGATAGCGGTTCGAGTCCTGTAGCGGTAAGTCTTCTTTTTTCTTTGAATTTTCTTCCCGTTCCTCGTTCCTTTTTGTACTTTCTTTTTCTTTYTTTTTATTAAATTCCGATCACTTTCAATCCCCTTCTAGTGACAATTAAAAAAAGGAAATTTTAATAAATGGGTGACGTGACAACAGGACAACGCAGTAGGAATAGAGTTGACTGACAGGGTAACTTYAATRAAAAMCCCCTATRAAAACATACGAAMTATRCAAGTTTTTCTTTTCRAAAGAATCCTTGAAMATTCATCTTTATTGTGGAGCAGTTTAATRTKGGCAAAAGAATGGCTTTTGACAAAAAAA